GATTCTGTGTCACTTTTTAGTTACGGCAGGGAAAGTCCCACAGCTCTGCTGGAGGTCCCTTCCAACCCCTACTATTCTGTGATTCTGTGATTCTGTGCTCCAAAGCAAGTCCAGCAGGAGAACGGCCCAGCACCCCAGAGGTGCTCCCCATTCCCTCTCAGATCAGGGATTTTTCTGCTTGCCGTGTTATCCGCCCCCCCCAGATCTTTTTCACCCCTCCTGCTCCCACCACCCGAGCCCACCGCACGCAGTCAGCCCACCTGGGCTCGGCAAGGCTGTGTTTGGACGCTGAAAGCGGCTTTGGCCATCGCTGCTCAACCTGCCCAGCCCCTTCGTATGCAAGCACGGGAAGCAGCACTGGCAACTGCGTATTTCAAACCTTGACACGTTAAAATAACTGCCTCGGAATATCAAATTACTTGTAGCTTTTCAAGTCATTTGAAGATAATGAACAACTGAGCAGTGACTTCAAAAACTACTCAGAAAAACACTCTTCCCATCGGCATGCACAGCACTTGGCGGGGTGTTGCTCTCCCGTACTGCGGGCACGCACGTAAAGCAAACCCCAGGCCCCATTTTAACAGAAACTCAGACCAATAACAGTATAACAGGACAGCTAGAAAGTGTACAAATAGTGAAGTGATAATAACTGTACTAAAAATAGCAATTACAACTGAAAAAACATATTAAAAAAGTTTTTTTCTTTTGCTTATGTAAAGTGTTTCCATCATTGCAGTTCTTAAAAAAAAAATCTATCATTTCTTATTCAATAGAAAATTCTTTTAAAAATTAGAAAGAAAAAAAGCAGAGGATAAACAAAAGTGGTTTAATTACTCTGCCTTCCTCCAAGCTACAGTAAGACCTGATTGTCATGATAAATGAGGTTGGTGGGATTAACTGGTTATCTACTGCAACTGTCCTCGTCAGGGGGAAAAAAACCCCAAACCAAACCAGAATGCGATTTGGATCGATGAGCAACCTGTATTTAAGAAAAGACCAATACTGGAATAAGACAGTACCTGAATTACAGCGCATTGCTAAGATTCTGTGAGAAAAATTGGTATGAAGGAGCTCCGCTACGGAAACCGCTGCTCATCGAGTATTGCTGGCAGAATGGCAGTGGGAAAGCACGAACTCAAATGTACGTTGACCAGAAGGGGGTTTGCTTGTGTCCCTGGTCTGCTCCATTAGTTACCATTTGTGATTAAGAAGAAAACAAACAAAAGTGCTGAAAAACCTGTAAAAAACCCAATCCCCTGGAATTTATACTGTTCTTTGCAATCATTTCTGAAAGCACCAGCACAGAATTAAAGGACCTGTGGTAGAAGTGCAGGAGTAAAATTTCATGCCCTGTGGACTAACGGTAATCAAACCCTTTATTAATTTCTGTATAGTTAATTCCTACCCTGGACTAATTCCAGCTCTGGCAATTGCACTTTTCTTACCTACATTTTATTCCTTCGAGAATTTCCATAAGGCTTTTCTGTTGTTCGGCTGGTTTCGTACCGTGACAGGATCGCTACTCCAGATCCTCGGTGACAAAATGTGAGTCAGAGTCAAGAGAAAGCCAACCCCCGACCTCGGGAGGCTGCGTCACCAAGCACGCTGCTGCTTCGGAAAAATCCCTTCGTCCCTGTAAGCGAGCCGGGAAGTCGTCCCGCTGCCTCACAGAAGCACCGGTGCTTAGCACTTGGCCATCCTCAACCTAGTGAAAGGAACCCAATTCTCCACAGCCGAGGGGCAGAGGTGACTGCTCCCCGTATGCCACATGCTGTGCAGTAAAGACTGCAGGCTCCCAAAGACACCCATCGCAGTCAAAAATCAAGACCTTTCAGGTTGTTTATTCAGTCTCACGCGTGAGAACGCTGCATCACCCCTACGAGGAGAGGTTGAGGGAACTGGGCTTGTTCAGCCTGGAGAAGAGAAGGCTGCAAGGGGACCTTATAAATGCCTACAAATATCTGAAGGGTGGGTGTCAGGAGGATGGGGCCAAGCTCTTTTCAGTGGTGCCCAGTGACAGGACAAGGGGCAACGGGCACAAACTGGAGCATGGGAAGTTCCAGCTGAACCCGAGGAAGAACTTCTTCCCTCTGAGGGTGACGGAGCACTGGAACAGGCTGCCCAGGGAGGTTGTGGAGTCTCCTTCTCTGGAGATATTCCAGCCCCGCCTGGACAAGGTCCTGTGCAGCCTGCTGTAGGTGACCCTGCTTCGGCAGGAGGGTTGGACTAGATGACCCACAGAGGTCCCTTCCAACCCCTACTATTCTGTGATTCTGTGATTCTGTGATAAACACTTGAGGTGCACTCTCTTCGAGGAGAAAGCATTCTGCATCCAGGTGATTATTTAATGCTAAGTGAGGCTGAAAGATTAATCAGCTAATTACATTAATAGCATAGTGTTTTTTTAAGAAAGGGATTCCATGAAGACCGTCCTGCACAGGCAGTGTGAACTGGTGGATTTTTTCAAATGCAAAAGCGCTAGGACGAGATGTACATTCTTTTTTTGACAATTCTGAGTAAGGAATTTTATCGACTTCTTAACTAATAATTAGTCCTATACAACCGCATTCATATCAAACTGTAATGTACCATTTTCCAACAATTCAGAAAAACAAAATGAAACAAAAACCTTTTTCCCCCACAAAAGCTTAAAAATGACATGACCTGTATTCTGAATGCTTTTTAA